TCTCGAAGCCCTTTACGGTCGCCTCCACGACCAGCAAGCCCGGCTTGCACTCATTTTCCGGTATAGAAGCACGGAGCTCTTTGGGGCTGGGCCCTGTTCACCTATGCCTCCCTGAGGCTCAACAGAACTCAATTTTTCCCCAGTAGATTACCCTGCGCCTACTGAGTGGTGTCGTTTCCCCGCGACGAACAAGACTGGTAGGCGTTGTGGCGATGGTTCGAAGAATTTTGACGCGCCTTGCGCAGGGGGCAACAATTCCGAAGGTGACGGGTTTCCCCACAGACAAAACACCGTCGAACACGTCTATGCTGCCTGGCAGCCCGGAGCTCTGCTCCCTCATCCTCAGCATAGCTGAGATCGATGGGCATAGGCCCGCTCGACGAGCTGTTGGAGTGTGCATTCCAACCAAGTCGCGCCGACTTGAAATTGAACTCGGCATTCAATGCCACATTCACCACCTCTTCAAATGATGACGGATGCACACAAGAGTCTTCCATTCTGGCTACGCCAGTGCGGAGGCCTTTCATAAACACGGTCACTGTGACCGCCTCAGGGAGAGGATCTGCTGCCATCCCGGCAATGAAAGCTCGCATCTCTTGGACAAAGTCCACCAACTCCTTGTTGCCCTGTCGGGCGGCAAGGAAACACGATCGCACGCGATACGCCTGATCAGGCGGTGAGAACACTCGGGGAAGCTGCAATTTCAGCTCCGCCCAGGAGGGATACGCAGCTCCGACCGAAGTGCCGCACGTCAGTGCCCATTCTCGCGCTCGACAGCCGAGCTTTGAGATGGCTAGCGCCGCGCGGTGTTGCTCGGATGGGAGCATGGCGGATGGATGGCCATCTCGGCCTCTCTCACCCAGAGTAGGAGATTCTCTCCATCCTTCTTCTCAAAGACCTTAACGCTCACCATGAACGCCTTAGGTCGGGGGAAGTCATCTGTCACCGACGGTGGCGTCATAGACGCAAACGATGCGGACATCTTCTGCTGCAGGTGCTCTAGCAGCGCG